GTCATCAATAGCCCGACAGATGTGTCTAATGACAGCGATAAGCATACTTTCTATGACTGATTACCGTCAACTGATAGCAGTTTACCGCGTCATGACGTTACAGTTGTCACTGAGAGCTTAATGCAAAGATTGGCTCCCTCAAAAGCACCTGACCAGGCGTACATGACCGTCACTGAATTGGTACCGCGAATGACAGCGGTGTACACATTTAAATTGCGAGAAACAGCTTGATCTTTGGATGAACCTCATCACCATCAAACTATATGGACAGTCCTGAACGGAGGTTTATATTTCCAACGAGACCACGTTCTGATCAGCCGCCAAAGGTGCCGCCTGTCACTCGAGACTTGCGACAGGCGTGAGACCCGCACTGAGTTCGATCACCATACGGTAGTAGGGCAACTTCGTCTAAAATTACTCGTCTCACATCGACGTCGTCCTGTGGAAACACACTCACTAGCTTCTCGATGTTGGCACTTTACTCGGAGTTGTTTTAGTGCCACCGTTAGGACTAAGTCAGGAAATGGCAGCGTTGATGAAACTGACAAAAATTTCGAAGTTGGCTTCATTTCTTTGTGTAAAACGTAGCTTGGATCAGGAAGGTGATAGCAGAACTGCCTTGGGATTCGAAGAACACCTTAGCTGCCCTTAGACAGCAGGGGAACCAAGTCATGAAAGAGTACTTGGAGCAACGTACTCTGCCCTCTGAGGCAACCCATCCTCGTATTGGTCATGCAGTCAAACAGAGCTACAGACGGGACAGGAAATTTTAGACGGACGGGGAAACTGGGAACATCGAGAGGAAGGCCAGAAAGAGTCATTCGTTATTTGACACACTCGGGCGTACGAATAACTTATGACGTTTATGCGATAGCATTTGAGAATTAGCAACTCATATTCGGTGAGGAGCGCGAGATGACTAGAGGAGAGCATGGTGGAGGATGCATCTGGCACTGTAGGTGTTTCAGATACCATCAAGCCGTGCCTGTCTAAATGGACCCCTAGACAATTAGAAGCAAGGAGGTGGCAATTCACCGTGAAACATGGTCTTAGAGGAGTCAACTATTTATGCTAAGTCATTTATATAAATCACGTACCAATAGTTACCTGTTGAAATATGCTGCTTCAGTCTAAGTTAAACAAAATTGTTAAAAGTCAAGCTTAGACCTAAAGTCTGTTTCGCTTTACCAGAAACGCCTAGAAGGTTTTACAGCTAAATCACTATTTCTCATTCTCACCATTACCTGATTGTTTTTCTCCACTTATGTCACCAATGATATTTCAGCCGATATGATCATTCTTCAGCTTATCACGTAATCAGCTGAAACAGTTTAGGCAAACGGAGGTATCATCAACAGATGACAACAACATGGCCAGTATTACCTCAATATTGTCTCCTGATTTCACGACTGCCTCATCTCTGAATAACAAGAGTAATGATGGTTGGTCACTATATCAAAAACCGTTGTTGGTTGGTTTCCAAGCGAGCAGCAGCAAAATGACTTGCGCAGCGAACGGCCATCGCTTGCAACTTAGCAGCCAACCACAATCAAAGTCCATACACGGGTAATCAACACTGAAAGGTGAACGTTTCATCCGCGTTGGATGGATGTTCGTTCTTTGCCTGGCAACGGTAGGTTGGGCGATGTCTGTCGTACGGTACTGTGGTACAAATTCTACGTATTTGTGGTAACCGAAGATTGTCTTCCTAGAAAAATAGCTTGAACCTCAGAAAGGGTGGTAATTGGGGGGGGGCAAGCCACAGCAGATTACACCTTTACTGTGTAGGCATCCTCCATCCCTGAGGAATACTTCTGTAGTATGGAACAGGTGTAAGTGAGATTCCCGTTCTATCGGGTAAAGGTGAAACAGCCACGCTCAATCTTATAAGCCTACTGCCCGATAAATATGTTCAGCGACAACGAAAAGATACTTTCTCTAACAGATATTTGTAGTCATCTGTTAGCGTTTCCTCGCGTCACCCCTATACAGTTACCACAGGCGAACTTAACGCAAAGAGTGGTACCGAGTAAAGCATATGGCAATGCATAATCGGTTGTCTCGGGATTAACAGCGCAAATCATAATGTGGCACCCTTGCCTAATTTTCACGTTGTAAACAGTGGGACCTCATTGGTCATATCTGCATTAACCAAACTACTTGAACTTCCCTTTAGTGAAGCCAAAAGTTCCAATTGAATTATGTCCTCGTCAGACGCAGTGACACAGCACATTAATGGAGACTCGCGTCAGGAGTGGTAACTAAATTGGGTCCAGTCACCGTATGACCGTAGCATAACTTTGTTTAAACTTAGTTGTGTCACAAGCACGTAAACAAATTGAAACATGGCTGCTTCTCGATGTTGACAGGCCAAAATATGATGAAACGGAGTAGTTGGCCTACCGGAAGGAGACCCTGGGTTATATAGGGTCCTCTTAGAGCCCAGTCAGGAAGTAGCAATGTCGATGAGATTTTCGAAGACTTCAAATGAGGCGTCATTTCTTTATGAGTAACGTGGTATGGGTTAGAAGGAAGATGGATACTGCCCAAAACTGGCTTACAGAAAAGATCTTTGCCATTAAAATTCAAAAAAGTCAAAAGATTCTCGCAATACCCTTCCGCACTCTCTAAGAGAGCCCATCCCTAATTCGTTTTTGTAGTCAACCAAGGCTACAGGAGTCGCAAGGATCTTTCGCCAGTAAAAAATTAGTGAGATCCATTACGGAACCAGAATGAGCGACTGAAGAATAGTTAAAATGAATTCAAAAGTTCAGCGGTAAGCAGAAGATTCGCTCTATTCAAGTCGCAAACAGGTGTCTGAGTGGAAGGTCAGAAACAATGTCTTAAAAGTCGAAATATGAGTTAAGAATAAGTGAGAACTTAGCACAGATCCCCCCACAAAGCTACAAATCCAAAAAGTTTTGTATATCTCGAGTTGAGAAAAACTGCCAAATGCATGGAATACCCGCAGGGTCCATTAAGGACAGAGAAAAGGGCACAGAAGAAAAGCTATTGCCCCATCTTCTCAAATGTGGACCTTAGGCACTTACGTGGAGAAGTAAAGCGTCCAGTAATTGCCCCTATATTCAAAGGGGGTCAGACGACTTTCTGCCCCTATTATCGTTGTTTGATGCTACTGCCGACTCTTGGGACATTTTTCTCCTGGATGATCAGTGGGGGGCAAAATAGATGTAAATATGCTTTCAAAGATAAACATATCCTTCTTCGATTCAGAAACCGTTGCCTCAGAGCAAAAATATTGAAAAGCTGCCAATGTGGCAGACATCACGAAACAGTTCAAGGCGATGATCTCAGCAAACAAAACAATGTCATATCGCGGGTTGCATCGGATAACAGATCTGCTCTACCACATCTCTTGTGTCCACGTAAATAACACAGTTATTTGCATGCGCTAATGGTTATTGCTGATTCTATTTTCACTTACAAGCAACTGCATGTACGGTCTGATTGTTTTCCTGATGGTCCCAGTTCAAAAGTTGTAGATGAGGAAGGAGCCATTCAATTAGCAATCTGTGGATAAAGAACGACTGATGTGACCGGAAAGCACTTGCTGGCCATCATCGGAAAATCTGCAGAATCCATGATTGATATACTTGGATTATATCGTTTATTTGACAATACTCTTTATATATGAGGACATAGATTTGGGAATCCATATTATTTCACAGTAGACGTACCGAAGTTCGAACAAAGTGTTAGCAGGGAATCCTATTCTGTTCAAACTTTCGTCACTCGTAGGAATTATAGCATCAATTGAAGTACACAACATTAAAGGTCTCGTGTAGCAGGAAGCAATCAATTAATAATTAAACGGGCCAGGACGATTGCCGGTTAAAACTGCAATATCTGTAAAAATTGACAGTTCGAGATGCCTGCTAAAGGTTTGAGGACATTC